TTATTTGTGGGGCGATATCTTACCCCAGAATGTGTTGGCCGGACTGCTAACATAGACGGGGCCGGCATCAGGATATTTACTTAGGGACAATCTTTAGCTTTTTGTTATGAATGTATTGGGCCTATGCTGAGCAGAGAAACAGGGGGTACATCGAAAGGAATAAAAAATTAAGAACTGTGATAATACAATCGAAGATGAAAGGGTGAAATAGAGAGAAAGAGGGAGAAGGAGAGAGTAAGTGAGAGGGAAAGAGAGAGGAGAGGGATAGGGTAAAAGGGTTAGGGAGGAGTGAAGGAGGGAGAGAGAGAGAGATAAAAGGAGGAATGGGAAAGGGAGAATGAGAGAGAGAGAAGCAAAGACAAACAGATAGACACGCACCAACAGAAATGCACACACAGAAACCCAGTAAACAAACAAACGGACAGCTGGAGACCCTGACACTCTAAGAGACAAACCAATGTCATAATAAAGACACACACACCTTTACACTCACCCAGAAAAAAAGAAGAAAGAGACAAAGCGACAGATAGAAATGACAGAGAGAGGCAGACAGTCCGGAAGACAGACCGAGCACGAAATAGATGTAGAGAGAGATCACTGTCTTCACGATCCTCCTCGACACTCACTCAGCGACGTCGACATCACCCGGAGGAGAAGCAAGAGGAGGAGGAGAAGCAGGAGGAGGAGGAGGAGGAGGAGGAGGAGCGCGATGTTCAAGTGGTCCCCTGTGTGGAAGACCTCCTTCAGATCGACATATATTACGCACAGGTTTCTGCCAAGATTCTCGGACGGCGAGACTCCGGGGGTAACAAGAGATCGAGAACGGCGCTTCTCGAACGCGCTAAGGAGCTCTTGAGAGTCTTCCCGCGACGTCTTGGCGTGTGGCCGAATCGCGTTCAGCATTGTGGCATCGTGGGGGGGGAGGGGGACTCCTGTACGATAAGAAATCGAATAGATGAAGAGGAAAAGGGGAAAAATAAATATAAATATATGCGATAAATAAAAAAAAAAGGAAAATAAGATGTAAAAAGCAGGTAAAATAATTTAAAAAATATAGAATGAAAAGATTGAGGTTGAGATTCCAGCGGAGAAATTGATGGATGGAAAATAAAAGTAAACATGAAAATAAAATAAAAGCCGATTCTTTAATGATATGGTGTTGACACTTTTCCGAAATTTTTGTCTGGCCTTTCTCGGAATTTTTTCCCTCCTTGAGCACCAAGACTTACAGCTGGGCGAAGTATAACGCCGTAGTAATCTTCAGAATCAAAGAGCCGTCTAAGATTTTTTTTTTTCATTTTTTTTTTCTTCTTCTTTTTCTTCCTTCATTCTTTTCCTTCGTTTCTTCTTCTTTTTCTTCCTTTCTTCTTCTTCTGTTTCTTCTTTTTTTTCTTCCTTTCTTCTTATTCTTTTTATATTTTTTCTTGCTTTCTTCTTTTCTTTTTTTCCCTTGATCGCTTCTTATTCTTTTCTTTTTCCCTTGCTCTCTTCTTATTCTTTTTTTTTCTTGCTTTCTTCTTCATCATTTTCCTTTTCCCTTTTTTTATCTCTCTTTCTTCTTTCATATTTTTATTCTTCTTTTCCTTTTTAATTCGCCTTCTTCTTCTATTTCTTCTTTTTTTATCACCTTTATTTCGTTATCAAGGATGGGCTGTTGACCCTGTTTGAGAAAGTGAGAAGCATTTTCACAAGTGGTCTTTACCCTTTTCTTGTCGATATCTCCTTTTCCTCAACATCTTCAGACTCCAGGGATCTTCTCTATCTTTTCCCATGAACTTCCCCCTTTCCGCGGTGTTAGGTCTGTCCCTAATGTTGTGCCTGTTTAGTTATTTATCTCCGTCGCTCTCTCGCTCTCTCCTGTCTGTCTCTGCCGTTCTTTCTTTCTCTCTCTCTGTTTTTTTGTGTTGTTGTTGTTGTTGTTGTTTTTTTATGTCATTCTCCCTTTCTCTCTCTCTCTCTGTTGTCTGTTTATGTTATTCTCTCATTCTCTCTCTCTGTTGTCTATCTCTGTTATTCTTTCTTTCTATGTCTCTGTTGTCCGTCTATGTTATTCTCTCTTTCTCTCTCTCTGTTTTTTGTCTACATCATCCTCTCTTTCTCTCTCTCTGTTGTCTGTCTCTGTTATTCTTTCTTTCTCACTTTCTGTTGTCTGTCTCTGTCATTCTTTCTTTCTCTGTCTCTGCTGTCTGTCTCTATCCTTCTTTCTTTCTCTCACTCTCTGTTGTCTGTCTGTCTGTCTCTCTCTCTCTCTCTCTCTCTCTCTCTCTCTCTCTCTCTCTCTCTCTCTCTCTCTCTCTCTCTCTCTCTCTATATATATATATATATATATATATATATATATATATATATATATATATATATATATATATATATCTGTTGTCTGTCTCTGCCATTGTTTCTTTCTCTCTCTCTGTTGTCTGTCTATGTTATTCTCTCTCTCTCTCTCTCTCTATCTATCTATCTATCTATTTATCCATCTATCTATCTATCTCTATCTCTG